TGATGCCGCCTGGCCCTGGAGGTGACCGTCCTCCATTCACCTCCTGCAGACTCCTGGGTGGTGACAGCCTGAGGGGATGGGCCCTGCAGAGAGAGAAAGTACCCGTCAATCTCGTCCTCCATGGCCCTGATCCCCCACAGCCTGCTCACCTCCACCTGGCGCTCTCTCACCTGCCCCTCCAGCGCTGCAATCCTGGCACAGGTGATACAGGTGAGAGAAGCCTCCGTTCCCATGTCCCCCCCCGGCCCCAGGGACCAAGCCAGGCAGCCCCCACAGGCAGGTGGCCCCACCTTCGTGGAAGCTTCACCGGTCCCCAGGCCAGGAGATAGCCATGGGGCAGGAGGGAATATAAAAAATATTTTATTAAATAGTAGAAAGCTATTTTGATATCTATATATAGTATTTTGTGCAACAACTTCCAAAATCTTTGTTTTTCACTTATTTTATTTTAGTAATTTAATCCTGATCCTATAAAAGACTTTCATGGGCTTGGCCACAAGCACCTGACTTTTTACTATTGAAGTCAAAGACTATACGCAGGCTTAAAAATAATCTTGTGTGTAAATCTGATGTTTCTTCTCCTAATAACCACCTCCCCTGCTTGTGATTCCATTATTCCATGACTCCCTCTTCCCGCCTCCTCAAGATGCCTCCTCCACAATCCACCCTGTCCCCCACAATGATATGTTTCAGTCTCACATTCCTAATCCACCATTAGGTCCATTCCATTAGTCTACAGCACATAATCTAAAGCAATGGAGCCTTTCTTTCCCAGAATCCCATTTCTTATGATTCTACTCCCTTAGATTCCCTTCCTGTATGGATTTCTGCTTAGCAGTGGCTGCTTTTCTGCTTTTCTTGGAATCTCTCAGATTCTCTTATCAACTTTTTATTCATATCTATCTCTTCTACAGTAGCGATGCATAGCATTTGCACGGGGTGTATGTGCACCCCCTGAGAGCACTGGTGCACCTCCAGACTGGCTGTACTCCCCTCTTACATGATGGGCAGGGGGGGCAGGCAGGAGTGTGGGTACCTCCCCACTGTGAGTGCCAGCTGGGGACTGGGAGCCCCTAATGTAGCACCATGGCCACTTCTGGAAGTGCCATGGCCACTTCCAGCAGCGCTGTGGCTGCTTCCTGATCAGTGAGTTTTGCTGTTGTGGGACTCCCCCTCCCCAGTTTGTGAGATTGGCCATGGGGGGGTGCCTCTCAATCACTGAGTGGTTGCTGGGGTGTCACGTGCTCCCTTTAACTAAGATGGCACCAGTCGCCCATGCTCTTCTACATATTCTTTTCTTGTATATTGTTTCTCCCCACCTTTTTCAAATACCTCCTCAGCGGGTGCATCTACATGATCAACTAATTTGACACAATAAACTTTAGCTCAATTCATGCTGGAGTCAGCTACTCCCAGATGCAGCATTTACACATGCACCCAAGACCGCAGCAGTCTGAGTCTGAGCAGAGCAGCCCCAGGCTGTCAGCATCCTCAGGGGGTCAGCCCCAAGCTCCAAGTGATGGGGACAGGCAGTGGAGGGGCTGGTTGGGGCAGGAGGTTGCTACAACGTGAGGCTACCCAGAAGGCAGCCCTTGAACTGTAGCACCCTCGTGCTCCAGTCAGCCCCATCACTGTCTACATGTGTATTGCAATGGCATAAATTACGCTGCCATAGGATACTAGTTGTCCCAGACAAGTGCTGTCTTATGCTGGAGTTAATTTACTGAGTCCTAATATGGGTGCATGTGTAGACGGTGACACTTTACTGGGGAACTAATGAGTCAACTCAGCATTAAAGTGCACGTGTAGATGCATTCAGTGATTCCTTCCTTCTGCTTCTGCAACACTTCTCTGCCCAACCCTTTTGCCCTGACAGTGATATGGCCTGAGTTTTTCTCCCCATTCCTCATAAACACACAATTCTATTATTTAAAGCAGACTTTGTTGTAGGCAGCAACTATTAAACTGTTTGGATTTTGTTGCTCTGTTCCTGTATCATCATGTTGGTTATATAGCATACAAACCTGGGCTATATGGATACTTAAGGCTTGATCCATCCACTATGGGATTCTTTCCACTGATTTTAATAGGTGATTAAATCAGACCTTGATATCTGGTGAGTAAGCAGTCCTTCCAGTGTATTTGATATTTTCACTATGGAATATGCAACAACACAAAATGACCCAGGAAAAATAAGGCATCTATTCTTCAGCATTCATCTTCAAGTCTTGGCAATAACGGTATTACACAAATATTTTTAAATACTATCCTAGGGTATTGTTTATCTTTCTTCACCCATCAGTCCAGGGAAAACAGACTTCCATCTTAGAAATCTATTTGGTTAAAGCAACAGTCACATGAAAATAACCTTGTTGAATCTTTGTTAAAAGAAAATATATTAATCTCTGATTGTCAACTTGGAACTTTTTGTTATGTAGTATGCTTTCCTATTTTCATTAAACCTGTCACTTTCAGTATAGAGGACCATCACTTTCTTGGCGATAAAACATTTAGAGCTTATTGTAACTGTGGTTGTGCAATTTTGCATATTTATTGCATTAATCTCTACATTTGGAATCTGAAATTATGGTAATTTCTGACCAAAATAAATAGAAGTTAGGAAACCATTGACATTTTTTCCCATCCTGAGGGCTTATTTTTCAGCCAATTTGGGGCGTGTACAATGGAAATGATAAGCTATTCAAGTTTTGTGTCAACTATTCCCATAAATTGTGGGGATGGAAAATATCTATTTTTGCATTGCCTGGGTTCATGGGTGAACAAGAACCTGTACTATATTAGAACAGGACAAACCATGTGAATATGAATACAAAGTGTACAGTTTTAATAATACACATAATAAAAATAGAAAAATAATTTAATAGTGTTGAGGCGATGTTGTTTCCATGATGGTCCAGGAGATAAGGAAGAATTAATGTGGCAGCATCTTTTTTGGACCAACTCTATGGCTGGTATAGATACAGGCTGTTTTCAGGTCTCACAGTACCCTTATTGCAGAGGCCTGAGGAAGGGTACTATGATATCCCAAAGCTTGTCTAAGTCTGTACCAGCCATACATTTGATCAAAGAAAATATATCAACTGCAAAAACAATTTGAGGTTCTTCCTGTGTTTGGAACTAACGTTGAGTTTCAGCAACTCAGGTCTGCAAAAAATGCCTCTCTGCTGAGCATACTTCATCCTTCATGTTGTTTTTGCTTTTTATTTTAATTAGAAAATAATTTTGCTTTAATTTCTTTCATCTTAGTTTCCTACCTTTAAAATGAGGATAGAAATACCACTTATTTTTACAGCAGTCCTGTGAGATTAAATCTATAATGAGCACTCAGATCTTAGGGTAAGACCATCTCAGAAACATCCATGAACTTGTCTTTAGCACAGTGATTGAATAGTGTAAGTAATGAGAGACCTGAGAGGGAGTGGTAACAAGAAATTCAGGATAACTAGCCTCTCTTTGAATGCAGCAGGCATCTTATGTAAAAAAATGGCATGTGATCTTGTAATTAAGGACATAATTATAATGAAGCCCAGTGCATGATCCATTCATGGATTTTTTTTCAAAATTTGAGTGCTAACTTTTCAACTTTAATATATTTTTAACTTGGATAAAGAGTATATTGATGTCTAATTGCTGTGTTTTGTGAGGCTTGGAACTATATTAATTTGTGTTACTGGAAATCAGAAGTATGGAATATACTCATATATTTCAAATAGTGACAAGATTAGACAAGACCCTGAAAGCAAGGCCCTGGGAGTTGGAGGGAAAAGTGAGGAGAGAGATCCTCATACATCATGTGTATAGCATGCAGCAAATGAATAATCCTGCTGGAGTCACTAGAATCCTTTTCAGACTTAAAGTTCAGCATGTGCTTTACTAGACTGAAAAAGAACAGGATAGAATAAAAAAAATATATAAAAGCAGACAAATCTAACTGCCCCCCATTGCTGTTGTTTAAATGAAACCTTTCAAAGTGAGAGGAATGCAATAAATAATATGTGCATGTTAAACATACAACAAAAACCTGCTGAAGACCCAAAAACAATGAGTAATTGCACCTTGGCATCAGAAAGGATGGAGGGAATTTTGATAACAGCAATGTGAATGTCTTAGATCAGGAACATTAAAAAGAATGATGTGCTAGGACTGAGTTAAAAAATCACAACAAGATATATTAGAATTTAATATTACTTTAGCCTGGTGTCTGTGTCCCCCATGCCCTTGCCCCTCCAAATAAATGCAACTTTGCTAACCTGTTAACTGATTACATTTTCAAAGTTTGAGCTGTTTTTATTTTTTATTTTTTCCATGTGATTGGCTATACAAATTATAGGCTACTCCTTGATTTCAGTTATAGACTTGTACTTGCATATGTAGATTTCAATTTACATAAATATTTGATTTTAGAAAAGGAAAAATTAAAGTTCTTTCAGCAAAGACAGTTTCTAGGAAAAGTTGATCTTTAAAACACCTAGATGGTTTGATCCACGGGTCTCAAACAACTTTACAAAAACCAGTACAACCATTCCTACTTTACAGACTGAGACACAGGCATAGAAAAAAAAGGCACAGAAAAAAGTCCATGGTCTTGTAAACTAGTGGCTGATTCACAAATAGAACGTGAATCATTTGAGCTTCTAGGCAATTCTCTATACTCCACCTCCCTAAATGCTCATGTGAAGAGCTGTGGCTAGGACCAACATCAGTCAATTTAAAACACTGGATCAAATATCTACCACTCTTCCCTGCCCCTCTCCTTGTCATTTTATTTGCTCAGCTATGCATTGAATTACATTTGGCTAAAGCCCCAATTTTAAGTGAACATGTGTAATATGTGCAGATCTTCAAACAAGTAGTCATACTGATTATGGGCATAACACAAAGTAATCAGTGCTTTTCTGAATCAAGACCTAGGTGTTAAAGGGAGGTAGAAAAGGCTTACATTTTTGCCAATTTTGGCTTAAGATTAAGTATCTCGATAGCAATGGTACCATATTTGCAGCTTTATAGATTTGTAATAGCTGACCAATGATATTTGAATACATAAAGTCCCAATTTAGAAAGGCAGATTTATTTAGAAAGGATGGTTGAGCATATGCAGTTAGTAAGAGTTTTGTTGTTTTACTAGCATGAATTTAAGCAAATGCTTAAAGGTTTTTGTTGGGTTAGGGATTACATATAAATACTTAACAATGGACCTTCATCATATAAATGCTGGGCATATTTTCTAGGGTTTGTAAAGTATGAATACATTTTAGTTCTTCTGATTTTTTTAAATGTACCTTGCAAATATATCCTAGTATTTAAAATGAGCAGGAATTGGAAGGCGATAAATATTATTTCTAGTACAAATATTATTATTCCTGCATATTTTCAATAAGTATCTCCAAAGTTCATTAATAACATATACATGTATTCCTTAAGAAATAATTTGATATTACAGCAGAGTACCTTGGGAGGTCATAAAAATAATAAAATTGTAAGAAGAATAGGTCAGTCTTTCACTATATAAATTATCTTTACTGAAATAAATTCATGTTAGCATATTTTGTTAGCATTTTTCATGGGAATAAGCTTTGTGATGTCTAATTTATTATATGGATTGTACAAAGCTGAACTGCTCTGACCTTTTCAATATGTTGTTTTAGGATTGGTTACCCATTCCACTTCATTACTTCAGGCTATAGAGGTTTAAATGCAAAAGAAGTGAAATAGGCAGCCAATAAAATGACAAAGTTGTACAAAGGTTAAAGAATTACACAGCATTCCACTAAAACTGACAAGCATTAAAGTTTGGATTTCTCATTCCAATGACAAAGATGATAATGAGAACAGAAAACAGCACTATATAATCCATTGTCATGACAATGATTGTAATTAAATGGGAAAGGATATAAAAGCAACCTGCTCTTATAATAATTTATATATTCCTATCTATGGCTCCCCTTAGGTTTTTATTTAATTCAGAGCCAATACTCTCGTGCAACCTTTGTGATTCTTTGCAAGATATACAGGACAATATGTAGAGAGTGACATCATGATCTGTGTATGTTTAAGGACTATCACCCCTTTTCTGTTCTTAACATTCTGGAGGAAAAGCAGGTCTAGATAAAGGTACAGATAAAGAATCTTGCTCCTCAGTTGTTACAAGTTTAAGCATAAGATTCAGTGACACATCTCTTATATGCATTACTACATACCTCTACCTCTACCACTGTAACCACTAATTCTGGAAATGACTTTTAAAATGACTCTTTTCATGGAAGGAAAATGGAAACAAACAAGCAAATATTAGGCATCATTTTTATTGTTATAATGTATGAAGGAACCTATCCAACGTTAGGTCACTATATAAAAACATATTGGTTAGGATCGTTTTTCATTTAAACTATTTTTTAACTGTTTTCTACTTTTTTTCTTTTGATTTTTTTTTAAACAAGCGCCTGCTTTCCATGGGAAAGCTTGCTGAAAACTTCCAGATTCCATTTTTGACACAGTCTAAATTTGTCCAAATATGCCTTGTATTTATCCTAGAGAAAATCACCAGTTGTTATCCCTGCCTCAATAGTTCTAAAGTTCTTTGAGTGCTAATCATTGGTTTGTTGTTGTATGAAACCTCAGTTATGTACAATATTTAAGCATGTTCTTTGCTGAATGGGCCTAATTTAGTCCAGGTCTAACTGCCCTAGAATCAATGGGAGTTATGCCAGCACTGAACTTTGAGACTTAGTGTGTGCTTTATTCCCCAGCCACCCAATAAGCTTCACTAACATTTATTCTTTCATCTTATGGGGGACTGGGGTGGGGGTGGAGGTTGTTCATTACAGTACTAGAGCCTATCATATTTAAGCCATTATAGATAGCAAAAATGAAACTGAAGGGTCTATTTTGATATACAGTGAAACCTGTCTCACACTCAACTGCACAGGACCATGAAAGGTTCCAGTTTAGATAGTTTTCTTTCTTACAGTAGGAGCTACCTAGCCACAACCATAGAAACGTTCTGGCTAGTGGAGGTTTTTCAGCTTATACAGGTCCTGTCTTAGACAAATTTCTCTGTATCTTGCATTTAGTTTTTTATATTGTGAAAATATTGTAGTTTGTTGGTTTCTAGCACATACATTAAATACTTGATTTGACTGAAATGTATTTTTTCGTGACTTTCAAGAAAATCCATTATCTTCTTTAAACTTTTATATGAGTAAATATGAAAAGAATGTACATGTCACTTTGCAAACCCTCTTCCCCAAAGAAGTACTTCCAGGGGTAAGGGAAGGGACTGCCGGTGGCTAAAGTCAGAGCTTAGGAGAGGGACTTCCAGTCTCAAGATGGTAACCAGGGGGCAGGGCACCTGTAAAGAGGCAGGGCTACCCACACAGCCCTCGACAGCTGGCCACAACTTGGTAAGCAGCCCTCCACCTGAAATAATTGTCTGCACCTGCTTTACCCCTACAGGAGGGCATTGGGATTGCTGAAAGTCCCCTTGGCTGGCATTGCCTCCTATGAAAGTTCTGCCAAGCCTAACAACATTCCTCACCCATGAGATCCCTCACTGTGGTGATCCTCAATGTGTGTGGTGGCAGGATGGGTCTCTGAAGCTGCCAGGTACTCTTCATCCTCCAGAAGGGGGTGTACTCTGTGCTTTTCCTGCAAGATGTGGTATACAACTTTGCTGAAGCTAACTGGCAGCTGGAGTGGAGAGACAGAGTCTAATTCAGCCACTTCATGGAAGTATCCTGTGGGATAGTGACCCTGTTCTTGTGAAGCCTGCAGCTGGAGGTCCTTCTTACCATTGAGGTAGTGTCAGGCTGCTTGCTTTATCTCCGGGTCCAAATACAGGGGTCATCTTCAACTTGGTGAACCTCTATAACCCTGTACATGACCCAGAGATAGCTCATTTCTATGGGCAGGCAGCAACCTACCTCAGAACCCTGAGGCTTTATAAGTGCTTTGTCCTTGGTGGCGAATTTAACATCACCCTCAGGGTGCAAGAGCACACTGGCAGGGAGTGGAGCTGGGTTGCCATGGACGTCCTCGGGGTGGTCATCACTGACCACTCCCTGGTGAATGTCTGGCATACCCTGACGACACCAGCATGTTTACCTTTGTCAGAGTGGAAAAGAAGCAGTCATGCCACTCCCAGTTGAACGAATCAACATCTCTGTGTTAAACACTGCCCAAGTCCATGCCTTCAGCACTAAGCTGGCCCCCTTCAGCAACCACCATCTAGTGTATAGTTGGGTCATGCTGAAGGCTGAGTATCCAGGGCTGGCCTACTGGCACTTCAGTAACAACCTGTTGGAAGACATGGGCCTCAAGACCACCTTCCAGGAGTTCTGTTTGGCATGGTGTGAACAACAGCAGGATTTTCCCTCAGCTTGAAGATGGTGGAACATGGGAAAGGTAAGCATCAGGCAGTACTGTTGCTGCTACAACTTGGGACTCTCCTGACACTGGGAGGTAGCTAGAGAGAAGGTCAAAAGGGAAGTAGTGGACTTGGAGAGGCATCTGGCTGCTGACCCAGACAACTCATAACTTTGTGGAGAGTGTCAGGAGAGGTAAGAAGAGATCTGAGTTCTGGGTGACCACCACACCTATGGCATGCTCATCTGCTTGCGTGTCTGGCTCCTCCAGGAGATGGAACTTGGCTTCCACTTCTTCAATGCCTAGGAGAGAAGGACAGGTACCAAGAAGTGCATCACTTGCCTCCTGGTGGAGAATGATAACTCCTTCAAGGATCCCAGTGAGCTGCAAGAAAGGGTGAGGGCTTTCCATGAAGCACTCTTCTCGCGGAGTTCAACTAGTGCCAATACCTACCGGGTCCTGTGGGAGAGACTACCAGCGGTTAGTGTAGGTGAAAGGATCAGATAAAGGGTCCTTTCACCCTGGAAGGCCTCTTGGATGCCCTCCTCCTGCTACCTACCAACAAAGTGTTGGGCATTTACAGGGTGACTATGGAGTTCTACTGCACTTTCTGGGATTTCATCATCCCAGATCTTGCTGTGGTCTGGGTTGAGTCCTATGAGGACAGGGAGCTCCCCTGTCATGCAGCAGGGCTATCTTGACCCTGCTGCCCAAGAAGAGGGACCCTTAAACATGATAAACTGGTGCCCAGTCTGTATAGACTATAATGTTATAGTGAAAACCATCTCACTGCATCTGAGGTCTGTGCAGGCAGACACGATTCATCCTGACCAGACATACATGGTTCCAGGGCATTCAATTTTTTGACTAGTGTGGGACCTGGTGTGGGTCCTCACAGAATGGCCTGTCATTCACTCTCCTGTCCCTCAGCCAGGAGAAGACATTTGACAGGGTGGATCGCAGGTACCTCACAGACATGCTGAAGCTATTTGCCTTCAGTTGCCACTTTGTGAGGTTTCTCCAGGTGCCTTACACCTTCATAGAGTGCATTATCAAGCTTAACTAGGTGTTTACAGAGTCAGTCCTGTTTGGGCAGGGAGTGCATCGAAGTTTTCCACTGTTAGATGCTAGCTTCCAGTGTTAGCATCTAAAAAAGTAGGCTTTATCTATGAATAACTATATTGCCCTGCCTTGTGCTTGACTTCAGACTAACACAGCTAATTACCTTTCTTGAGAAAGGGAACTTTTTGTCAGGTGGGTGCAGAATTAAATTCAAATATACTTAATCTATTATCACATGGACCATTGGTTGATCAGAATTTCACATTTCCATTCTTTGCTAATGTGGCAGGCAGAAAGTAGAGCGCAATAGCTCTGTATCCATGACACTGTATTTTCTTACATGCACATCTTTTTTTTTGTAAAAGGCAGAATGAAAAAGGAAAGATTTCTTCAGAGTTATGGCTGCATAGAGCAGAGATAGAGCCTAGTCTTCAGCTGACTCACTGTCCCTAGTGGCTGTGGTGAGGGGAGTGAGGGGAGGGAGGGTGGCTGAGCTTGTGGGGAGGCTGGATGCTGGAGATTAAGTGTCAGAGGTGATGATGGTAGTGGCACCCCTGTTTAGACAGG